TTCAATAAATGAACATAAATAAATTTATTTTAATTAATTAAATCGACCAATGGACATGAATTAATCATTTAGTTTTCATATGTTAGTTAAATTCATAATTTCAAGACTAATAGCTCCCAAGGGTAAAATCGAAAGAATAATGTTATTTATGCATTGATCTTGTGAACTTACAAATATTAAGTACCATTTGTTTTTAGTAAGGACGATATATAAATTGGAACGGAAGGAATATATAAATAATATTCTTCTTCTTATTTTACCCTTGAGATAGCCTTGAAAGTATGACTTTAACCAATAAAGAAAACTAAATGATTAATTCATGTTCATTGGTCAATTTAGTTAATAAAAATAAATTAATTTATGTTCATTTATTGTAAACTTGACTTCAAGAGAACACTAAATAATGGTAGAATAGTAAACTTACTTGGTTTCTTAAGGAACATGAAATCTAAAATCGCGACATATAAATAGAAGAAAGGGAAGATATTTTTTTACTTTTTTCTTCGATTTTAGTATCACCAACTGTTTTATTTGCTTCAATATTGCATTATTTTATCTTCGCTATGCTTTCTTCGTTATTATTTTCAGCATGACCTTTTCGCTATTGTATTTGCTTATATACTTATTTTTATATATTTTAGCTAAGTCATAAGTCTATTGAAAATGACATTTCTATAACTCCATCTTTATAAGAAACCAATAAAATTGCGCACCCTAAAAATTTCAAATTCAATTAAAAAATTACACTAGATTATTTTTTCCTATTAACACTCACACTGCAGAAAGGACTTTAATTTTTATAACGACAATCAGCGTGCACCAAATAGTCAAAAAGTATAAGAAGAGGAAGAAAACACAAGAGATTTTTCCCACCGACTATAGATTTACAAGAAACTCCTTGGAAGTTACAAAATATAATTTATTTCATCATTATCATAAAACAGGTTGTGTCCTTTTCAATGAAAATATTACTGTGAATTAGATAAGTGTACCATTTTAAAATTTAATATTTTTCGAAGTAGTAATTTATTTTGATTAATCGATCTGATCAATGAACATAAATTAATTATTTAGTTTTCTATGTTAGTCAATTTATACTTTCAAACTAAGAGCCCGTTTGAATTGACTTTAAAAAATAGTTTTTAAGTTAAAAATAAAAAGTTAAACGTAAATAACTTTCAAGTCAAAAAATAAAAACTAGTGGGAGACCTACTTTTGGTCTTTAACTTATTTTAAGTCATTTTAAACTTATTTAAAGTTATTTTTAACTTTGTCAAACATTTCCTAACTTATTTTAAGTTATTTTTATATTTGTCAAATACTCCAAAAGTAAAAAAATTGTCTTAAAAGTAGATTTGACTAATTTTTAACCCAATTCAAACACCCTCTAATAACTCTCAAGGGTAAAATAGGAAGCATAATACAATTTGTGCATTGATTTTGTGAAATGACAAATATTAAGGACTATTTATTTTTAATAAGGACGACATATAAATATGAAGAAAGTAGATTGTAGAGTAATTATTATTTCCCTTTGTCCAACAATAATTATCCACAATGATTGACATAATGAGTTTATCATTTTACCCATATTTTTTTTAAAATTCAAATGTCATTTTACCCATATTAATTATGAAGTGAATAAATTAAAAATTTAAGATTTTTAAAAAATTATATTTTTTCTAACGTAATTAATTGAGGATATAATATATAAAAAAATTATTCTTTCTTAATTTATCAAAATAAATAACTAAAAATAAAATAAACAAGTAATTAAGGAAAAAGTTCACATGACATAAATATGAGCAAACAATGTTAATATTTCCATATAGACAAAAGAGAAGTACACAACTTCCAAGAATATGCAAAACCTTGAATTTTCCAAGAAAATATTAGTAGCTTGGTGAAAAAGTTTACTCAACAAATTCATAATCCAAAAATAATAAGGCACGTCTCTTTTCAATTGGTTTTATTTCTAGTTTCAATAAAACAACGACAAAGTTCCTTTCATTGGCCTTTGGTGTATGTGTAGTCGTGTCGACAATGATGCTGATATACTTGGCTTTTAATAGAAAAAAAATCGAATCTTGGATTAATTGTGTCGCACATTAGTTTATCACTATAATGAAATAATTAGATAAAACATAACACATATTGAACCTACTAAAAACATGACCTAAGATGGGAGAGTTTGAAAGTTACGAATTATGTTAGATGGTTAGTAATTAACAGTTGAATGTTCATTCAATTTCTTGCGGAAAAAAAATGATGATTGTACTTGAACCTTCTTTCCTATTATTGGTATTAATATTATTTTTGTAGTTTCTTATTTTTCGATTTTGATTATTATCTTCTTCTTTTTTGTGTGTGTTTTGATTATCACATTATTTTATAGACATTATTATTCCTAATGTTGTACGTTATGGTTGCTTCTATTTCACGTTATGTTGTTTTTATTGCTTTGATTTTTGTATTCCCTATTTCAAATTGCTTCAAAAATGTGTTTATCTTAAACTGAGAGTCTATTAGAAACAATATTTCTATATCTACACGATAGAAGTAAGGTTTTGGTACAGTTTACCTTTTTCAAACTTCACTGATGTAAATACACCGTATATATTATTGTTATTGTTGTATAACAAGAAAACAAAGCATCCTAATCTCCGGTCTTGTCATTGGCGTTAGTTTTTGTGTTTATTACTTAATAAAGTACTGTTAAGTACTTTTTTATTTTTTCCCCCCATTGGAGTGGAAATTTTGATTTTATATTTACTTTATAGTTTACATCAAGACTTTTTTGTTAGGATTCAAATTTGTTAGTCTCTTTCACGCTGGTTGGTTGTCTTCATTACCAAACGCGTTGGTTTTATCTAATTTTTCAATCTCAAAATTTAAGAAAATATGGTGTTTTAGATCAAAATTCAAATATAGAAAGACTTGCATAATATACATGATTAATGTATAATCATGGGTTTCTTATGTATGGTTGATTATTAATAGACTTTCATATATGGACTAAAGATTTGAAAATGACCAAATTCATGTTCATTTCATTAGATATTTTTTATTTGAACTACGTAATTAAAAAAAATTCTACTTAAAATATCACTTATTTATAAACATACATGTATAGTCCATATATGAATGTCTGAATAGTCCGTTTATGGTCATCAAAATCACTTAATTTTTATTTTTATTTTTATTTAATTTAAAAATGGAATTCAATTTTGTCTGATTAGTTTGGTCATCCAATTTTACATGGTTAATTTTCTAATAATTTAAACTAAAAATACAATTTTTGTTAACTATTTAATGACGTAGCAACTTTAAATATCTCTTAAAAAATTATTTTTAAAATTACAATCAATATTTAGATTTTTTTAAGCATCCAACCCAATGTTTGTAATAACATTCAACTAACACAAGGGCACTTATGATCAATGAAGTAGGTTGAACCAAGAATATGATATGATGGTCAATGAAATGAGTTGGTTCTTGGTGAGAGGTTATAAATATTCCGTGAAATCAATTGAGGTGCACCCAAGCTAAGATGGATACCACGATTAAAAAAAGAACTCGATTAAAAGAACATGTAATAAATATATTTTTATCCTATTAAATTAATATAATTTGATGAAAGTAACCTAAACACCCTTATTTTATCATAATATTATTAATACTCTCCTTTCCCCACATTAGTTGTCCATCTTACTGTAAATTATGGATCCGGCTCCTCTCCATTACTCATTTCCTCCATTTCGTCATGTGCACGTCTAGATGAGAGATATGTGTCTTATTTAAGAATATATTGTAATTCTTACCAAATTTGGAGAATAGTTTTCTAAAATTAGTTGACTTAACTATGGTTATGATATTTATTAATATAATATAATCTTGACCTTTAAATTTTAAATAATACACATGTCTCTCATCTAGACGTGTACTTGACGAAATGGAGGGAAGTCAAATCCGTGTAAATTATTATCTCAAGTTACTTGTTAATTTACAAAATAAAAATAAAATTAATGTATTTTTTTCTATTTTACTTTTATACTTTATGGCACTAATACCCGCATTATATCTTAACAAAATGAATAACTACTCCTTATGTCCAACAATACTTGTTCATTATTGACTTTGCATATTTCTTAAGAAATTATAAACAGAAGTCGAGTTGCATATCGGTTGTTTCGGTTTTGAAGTTTATCTATTTGGCTTATTGATTATCGTTTTGTAGAGATGCTAAACCGTTATAGAACCATAAAAATATTGACTTATTAGTTATTGGTTTATCGGTTTTTGATCGTTATCGGTTTAACCGTTAAGATTTGACACAAAAAAAACAACATTGAAAATCACTTAGAAACAAGGTGACAAACCAAATAAACAAAGCACATGAGTTCACAAGTTATATTTTGCTAAAAAACAAACACTTTTACGTTGTAGAATAACCAAGTGTTTGAGACAACCAAAAATAAAAGTAGGAAACCAAACTCTAAGCAAAACACTTTATATACAAAATGATATAAATACAATTATTTAAGTTACTATCGGGTTATCGGTTAACCCGTTAAGAAAAAACTTCAAACCGTTAAGAACCGATAACCCGATAACAAAAAAAATCAAAACCGTTATCAAAACTGCAACCAATAACCCAATAACTTTTTTTGGGTTTGGGTTATCGGTTTCGATTCGATTTTGAACAACTCTAAACAGAAAGGTAATTTTATTATATTACTTTTTGAATAAAATAAATATAATATCTTGAAAAATGTAATAATATAGTTGATAACAATTATTGAACGGAGGAAATAATATATAACGAGGAGTCGCAAATACGCGTGCATTGATTATGTGTCTTAGTGGCAGTTCCACAAAGTTTGGGTTGATTAGATCCTCTATATTCTTGTAACTAAACTTTCCTTGTATTTTTCTAAGTTCACGCGGTAGGTAATTCATCGTTGCCTACTAATTCTGGTCATTTTCTTGGATTTTTCTTCTTCTTCAAATCTTGAAAGCCCCCATTGTTCCAAGTTGTGGATTTGATTAATCAGTAAAAGCAACAATATTTTATTCAAGATTCTCTTCTTTTAATGCAGAAGACGACATTGACTTAAACAAGTAAGTCTTTCAGTTTGAATTTTGAATAATAAACACAACCACACATAGCACCCACAATGTGTTTGTGTTAATGTCTAAGAGAACTACACACCCTTTGTGTTTGACAATATAAATTAATTGGATATATATGAAGCTTCTTACCTGTTTCCTGCTAATTTTGGGGTCATTATTTTCTATATAAGACTATAGTTGTTAGCAGTTGAACGTTACCTTCTAACATATTGTGCAGGACTATTGGTATCACTCCCAAATTGGACTTTGATGGTACAGAAACGGAATATCAATCAGGATAATGATGAAAACTCTAAGTTTCCACCTAGGGAATCTAAGCGCCAACATCCTTCTAATGCGTATGTTGATTAAAGTTTCTGTCTTTCATCTGTTTTTTTGTGAATTTGGGTTGCATTGTTCTGATTGGTGTTTTTTTTTTTCACAGGCTTTTTTCAGGGTTAAGGAGTTACTCTTCTCCACAAGAACTTGCACTAAGGTTGGAGCCCTCAATCCGAAGCTGGGTAAGATTCTACTTGCTAAGCAAGAAAAATACTACTAGTATTATATCTTTCTGTTTGTAGGAGAAATACAATTTAGTCTTCAAGATTGTGCTAAGGGACAGAATTCGTTAAATTTTGAAAACCTCATGAGCCTTTTTTGATTGGAAAAGTTCATTTGGTTAGTGAATATCAGGTTAAAGCCTGGACTTCCTTGACATTTGACAAGATATCTTCACATTTGTTCATCAAGTTGCATTTTACATTTCTGTAAGTTTTGTCTGCATATTGATAAGTTACAAGGTTTTCTCAGATTGCTTGCTATCCGAAGTGTTCTTTACCTTTTCTTAATCCTTTTTGCCAGCCATTGAATATCTGTAGTATGTATCTCAGAAGATTCCTTTCTTCATCGTTTACTTCTCCATCTTGGTGATCTTTCCTTTCATCTGATTGATCTTGATTGGAGGATTGTTATCGGATTGTGTTATTAGTGATATATGATTTAGTCCTTGTTCAATTACTGTTGGACAGTACCAGGCCATGTGAATTCTGCCGGTATACAGAGTGCCAGTGAAATTGTCATTCACAGGGCAAAAGCTTGAAATATTTCTGTTCAATTCCCAATTGGAGTAGTCTTGAAAATTATTGCTATATGGAAGCTAAAATTAGTTATTGTCAACAGAGAGGAGGAGTATTTTGTTTTATTTATTTTACTTTGATTTGTCTTGTGTTAAAGTTTCCATGTTTATCATCCTTGGTTTTCTTAAATGGTGATAGGTGCGTGAAGAGATTGAGAGAACACTTCAATCTACCCTGAGGTCAGTTCTTGCACAATGAGGAATTATGTTGTTTTCTTAACTATAAACTTACCATTCTCTAAGCATCGGCATGAATGTGTTGGTTGATATTGGTATACAATGATTTACAAAGGGATTTCTTTTGGTTGTTGCAGATCCTCACTTAATGATGACGAGACTTCTCAATCTAGGGCTATTCAGTTACTTTTGACGATGCACTCCCTTCTTCCCTTTTCACGGGCAGTAAAGTATCCAGGGACAATAGGCCCATTAAAGTTCTCTTGCATGATGCTAGTTCGAACCAGAGAATAACATCTGGACCGTTATCTTCGGCAAAAGTTGATGTGGTTGTTCTTAATGGGGAATTTAATCCCAACGATCTAGAAGACTGGAGTGAGGAAGAGTTCAGCAAAAAGGTTATTCGTGCAAGAGAAGGAAAACGTCCATTATTAACTGGAGATTTAATCATTCAGCTAAGGGATGGTGTGGGATATCTGGGTGATATCAGCTTCACTGACAATTCAAGCTGGGTAAAGAGCAGGACCTTTAGGTTGGGATTGAAATTGATTAACCGCTCTGGTGAATTTAGGGTCAGAGAAGGAGTTAGCAAGCCTTTTACTGTGAGAGATCATCGTGGGGAGGGTAAGTTCTTTTTACCTGCCCTTATCTCCATTAACCTGTTATAACACCCTGCAAAGCGGAAGAAGAGGGCAGTTGGGTAGAAATTTGCTTAGCTTTGCTATATTATCCACTTCTACTTTCCTCATGCAGATTTGAGTATCCATTTTGTTGAGATGTTGCTCGTAGTACAACTGATTTCCAGTCTTTGCGCATATTATTTTGATGTAATATATCGGGCTGACGTTGTTTTATTTTCTTATTCCTTTGGTTTAGCTTATAAGAAGCATTACCCTCCCACTTTGGGCGATGAGATCTGGCGGTTGGAAAAGATTGCCAAAGATGGTGCTTCACACAAACGGTTGAGTAATGAAGGAATATCATGTGTGAAAGAGTTCCTACGGCTGTTTGTCACTGATCCATCTCTTTTACGTAAGGTAAGGTCATCCTTAATTACATTAAGAATGTTGTCTTTGGTCTGAAGTCGACCTTTTATTTATATAAAGTTTGTTTTTGGTGTCATCTAAATTATAGATGCTGGCTTGTGGGAACAACATATGGGAGAAAATAACTGAACATGTGAGCACTTGTCTGTTAGACAACAGCGAGTGGTACATCTACAACGCTGGAGAAAGTATTGTACTTCTGTTCAACTGCATCTATGAACTTGTAGGTGCAATTCTTGATGGACAAAATTTCCAGTCCATTGACAAATTAGATGTATTTCAGAAGGTCTGTACTCTGTATCCCACATAGATATTTATTTGTTTCCTTACTGTAAGAGTTAAGAAGCTGATGATATTCTTATAACTGCCAGCGGATGGTGGAAGACTTTAAGCGTAGTGTTTATAAAAATTTGAATTGTCTAGCTCCCCTTGAGGACCGTTCTTTGATTGGCCAAGCAGCCCTTACATCCAATCTGCAAAATGGCCTTTCTCATATTCCTAGTTCAAGCCAACAGAATATGAACTACTCAGATGAGCAAGGTATGAACCATCAAATCTTCTTCTGCAGTCATATGCCTCTTTTTACCATTTATTTTTCCATTTTCTTTTGTTGTGTATTTCTTTTAATCTTTTGGTCGTGTGGGGTGTGTGTGTGTGTGGGGGGGGGGGGGGGGTATGGCAAGAGTATGCTTTTAACCAAGCATTTTGATACATTTGATTGTGCATAACTTAGTTGTGTTCTTGAAAATATTTTCACTTCTTAGGAGCTAATATTGAACTTCTTTTAGTGTCTAAACCATCTAAATAGTACTCCCTCTGATTCAATTTGATTATCTAGTTTTGACTTGACACGAAGTTCAAGAAAGTAAAGAAGACTTTTAGATCTTGTGATATTAAATTAAAAATATGTTGAATGTACCAAAATGTCCTTTAATCTTGTGGTCTTAAACATACCACGTGGAAAGTTGAAATTAAAGAGTTGCCACAAAAGTAAAGAGACATTTTTTTTAAACAGACTAAAAAGAGAAGTAAAGACAACAAATTGAAATGGAAGTAAGTATAACTTAAAGACCTGCATTTACTTACCCTCCCATTCCAGGTGGTAGTTCCTTTTGGAAGGGCTCTTTGGACCAATTTTTTTTTGTTATTCCTCTTTTTTGCCTGAGAAATGATTTTATGACTATAAAAATGTGTTCTGCAGGTCAAGTGGAGTTCCAGAGCAACTCTGATCATGCCACAATTTCATCACCGCTAGCCTACACAGCTCAACAGGATAGTCCAACTGCAGTGTCCATGCCTGAACGCTTTCATGGAATGCAAGCATTTAATCCGACCTTGGCAAACAGTTTCTTGCTTGGTGATCCCTGCTCCAGTATCTACCCTGGTGATTATGATTGGGGTTCCAATGGTTCATTTGATTCACTAGGGATGACCGATTATCTACCTCCCAACAACAATTATCAGTTTGAGACACCAGTGTGGCAAGGGAATGGATTGTTAGCGAGTTCAAGTGTTCAGCCGGTGTCACCTAATATTGGCATTCACATCACAAGACGTGGAAATCCTAGAGCCATTTGGTGCACAATCCGTGCTGTCCTGAAATGGAAAACATTGGTTAAGCGAAAGTAGCTATTTGAAGGTTGAAAGGCTTTTACAAGTAGATATCTGAAGTTTGTTCGAGATATAACCAGGAAACTTCACCTCCATCTCTCAGCCTGCCTATTCTTTGAACTCTTGGGTATTTTGAAACATAAATATATTTATATGTCCATTACATATAGCATCCATCGTATATATGTGAGTAAATTGTACATATAGTAAGGTTTTTGTCAGGATGAAGGTGCATGTAGGATAATTTTTCTTGCAGAAACAGTAGCAAGATATCAAATGTTATGCTACCGCAAATGCCATCGTCCTTGGAGGAGTTTAGTGCTACCTCTTTACTAATAGTACTAGTAGTTTTCTTGTGTGTTTTCTGCATCAGATGTAATAAATGGTGCTTGTACAGGAAGTAATATTATTACCTTAATTATTAGTTTGTAATAATGAGATGCTATGTCAATTGTTGTCAGCTGTATCCTTGGAACTCGTCGGGCCCCATTGTACATTTTCTGTCATTACACTTCGTGGTATATAAACATATAGCTGTACATTACCTAATTGTTGGGAATCTTAGTAACTCGGTTGGTTGCCTATTTGAACTTTCATCTTATAGGTGAAGGTTCAATTCTTCATCTTGTAATCCGTTTCCCCTTCCCCCACCCCTCAATTTTATATTTTAAAAAAGTGTTTATCTAATATTAGTGTTGGACATAAACCTTCTGAGTTTGGGAGTCACATGCGGGCATTTCCAACCTAACCCTCTATTTACTTTCCAAAATAGAGTTTTTTATTTTTTCAGACAATTAACTCCAACCCAATTCTCTATTTTAGTCTCTAAAAAATAATATTTTTTTTCTTCAATATTATATTTTTATTTTTATTTTATTCCTACTTTTTATTTCATTATATCAAAATATAGAGAATAAAAAGTAAAATAGAAGTGAATTGGAGATGTTCTAATAAAAGAATGATTTGATGTTTTTAACTATGAGTTTAACTGCTTTGTTGGGGGCTCAAGAGTCAAGTGACAATACTATCACAAACTTTCACTTAATGCCACATATGTCTTATCTTTTACACTATGAGCCCCTCGAGGTATTTTTGTAAACTTTCCAACAACCACATAATATTATTGGCCAAAATGACAGAAATAGCCTTTTAGCTTTTGGCTTCAAAACCACCTAAATTTCCTTAAAAAAAAGAAAATTACCTTTGACATTTTTTTTGTTTACTTTACTCATTTTATTTCATTTACTTGACTTTTTCAATATCTTTACTTTCTTTTTTACTTAATTCATTTTATCTCTCATTCTATAAAATGTTTCTTAATTTTTTTATGTTTGGTTGGCTTAAATATTTTAAAAAATATTTCTCAAATAAACTTATTTTTTTCAAATAATAATTTTTTCTTACCTCACTCCGTACCCCGACCCTCCCCATTCAAAAAAACAAAATTTTTAAAATTTTCTTTTTAAAAAAAAATCAATTTATTTTGTTACTACACCCAAACTAGCCCCTCCCCCAACAAAAAAAAATTAACAACTTAAAATTTTATTTTTGAAAAACTAATTAACAACTTACATTTTTGCTCTACAAGTTTTATGATTTTTGTTGGTAGAACAAAGATTTGAGACCAGTACACTTGAATTAAGAAGAACCCATTTATTGATCACGTTACTAAAGCAAAGCTTTAATATTGAATACCGCTAAATGAATTCAAATCTCTCTAGAATAGTAATAATATTTGTGTACGCTCTACACTCTCCTAGTATAAATGATTATTATAATTTTATTGTTAAATGGGTTCAATAATCTTTCCCGCTCTATTTAAAGACAACCCGAAACCATAACTGAGACACATAGTACATCTTGACCCGGGAACGACAACGACTTTTTCGGATCCAATGGCACCTATCGTAAATTCTGCTAACCGTCGAACCTAATTCCAAAACTCTCCTCAATAAAATATCTTCTCTCTTCTCGAACCTTCTTTCTTGGCGTCACAAACTCTTTTCTTGCTTAGATATTTTCATCTTTCCTTCCTTTAACACAATCATCTTCTCCACGTTACACATTGCGTTTCTGCCTCCATCTTTTCTTTTGCCTCTTCAAATTCTCTAAATTATTGCTCCAGTTTCTGGTTCGTAACTGCATTTATCTATGGTTTAATTGAATTAATAACTTTTTTTCTCTACTCTGTACCCGTCAATTTAGGTACAGTTTCTGTTTTCGCATCATTTTTTTGGGATTTTGGCTCTGATTTGAGACAAAACAAAAAACGGTTATGGATCGAGAAGGAGGATCAGCCGGATCTTGTTATTATTCAGTTCTAGGGATACGCAATGATGCCTCCTGCTCCGACATTCGCTCAGCTTATCGGAAACTAGCTCTGGTACGCCATAGTTTCTTCACGTTATGTATTTATAAAATTTTATGAGAGAAAAAAATTACAACATTTTGTACAAATATATAGTACTCTGTATAGAAGTGTATGTGTGAGTATTGTAACATCAGCGTGAATTTTGGGTGATTTGTGAAGAAATGGCACCCGGATAGGTGTGCGAAGAATCCGTCGGTGGCCGGAGAAGCGAAACTCCGATTTCAGAAAATCCAAGAGGCCTATTCAGGTTACAATTCTTCACTTTTACCAGGCGTGTGTGTGGTTATTTTACTTGTTGAAAAATGTCCTACTTTTGAAGAGGAAATTGACGGCGGTTAGTTGTCCTTTATTTGTATTGGCAGTTCTCTCCGATCAAGACAAGAGGTCAATGTACGACGCCGGTTTCCTTGATATGCTTGAGGAAGACGAAGTACGTAAATTTGTTTTTTTTCAGAAAGTAATCATATAACTACTGATACTGCTTCTGCAATTTCTCAACTGCGAGAAATTCTGATCGTGATTTAGCAATTCAGAATTACTACTAATTTTTAGTGATTATGATATTACAATTCCAAATTTATCTCTCCTGAGTCTTTCAATTGCAATTCAACTGAGTATCCCAATTATGCTTTCCAATTAGCTTAAAGAAGATGCAACATGAAGAACAGAACAGTGCAAGAAGTAGCCAAAACAACACCAAAATCATGTGATAATCGAAATACCATTTAAACATACTAAGATAATACAATTACAAATGATAGAAATAAATAAAAAGCAATGAACTACAATAAGACCAGACTACGCTACCTACTACCTTTTTACATGTCTTCCACACCTTCCTATTTAGGGTCATGTTCTCGATAACCCAAAGTTATGTCATATCCTGTCTTATCACCAATCCCCACTAATAAAAAAATACAACTATTACTTTTTCACGAGTTTTAGCCTTCAATTATCATCATGTGGGTATTAAAACACTAATACAATTTGTTTGTATGCAGGGAATGGGTGATTTCCTGCACGATTTGATGAACAGAATGGATCAAAATGTTGGGGCGGCGGTAAGATATTTTAATGAGTTGTACTCCTACATGTCTTGTGTGCGTGTATGATTCAAATTGTATGTATTTATTGTGTAATTAAATGGTGAAGGAGGAGAGTCTAGAGGATTTACAGAGGACATTTGTGGATATGTTTGGTGGAGATTTAGCTAAGATGATGGGTGATGAAACTCCAACGGCAAAGAAGAGGGCACGTGATTCGGGTTGCAGCCCTTGGGCTGCATCAAAACGCAACAATGTTACTAATGTCAACTTCAATGGCACCTGTTAGTTTTAAAGCAAAAATACAGAGAAGGCCTCCTTTTCCTCTCTTTGATGTTGATTTTTGTGGGGCTGGAGAGGAATTAACTTGTTTATTTGGTGGTAGATTAGGCAGAATAGAACCTTTTTTAGACTTTTGATTTCTAAGGAACAAGTTGTTCAAATGTGGGTGCTGTTGAGTTGCGTAATAAAATGTCTCTTTGATTAATTAAATTAATGGTACATCTTTTTGGTGGCTCTTCCAAAATATCTTCCAGTGTTACCTATATTATTTAAGAAATTTGGTACTTATAACATATGATTTGTCTGATCAACTTTTTTGATATTTCGCATGCACTAAACATTCATTGACAAGGTTAAAAATCTGAATGATTCTAAAGTAAATACTACCCCTTTATGGGATATTTTATTTAAGTTACTTTAGTTCTTTTTAAGACAACAAAATCATTCAGCTATTGTCTTTTGATTAAAAAAATTTAAGATGCATGTACGACTTGTCTTATCATATTAAATCTCCAATTTTAATAATATAATGTATTTAATTCATGATCCTTATCCATCTAGGGAAGTATGTAGTTTTTTAGTTTTTGATGCCTACTTTATTTTAAAACTATATATAAATTTTTTTTGGCGAAAAAAAGACATTTTATGGAGCGGAGGAGCATTGAATGGAAAAGATGTAGTAAGAGGAATTAAGGGGTCGTTACTCATTTGTGGAGTGTATTAGCAAAAATAATGTATGCATTAGCTCTATGTATTATTATGAGAATATTATAATGATATAACAAATGAGAGGAGGCATACAAAAATGATTGAGGAGAAGAGGGAAAAGGTGAATGTTTTAATTTAATTAAGGGAAGACGTGTAACGTGGTAGGGAAGGATGGGATGACACATACCCAGTGAGGACGATCATATTTTATACGAATTAAACATAAACAACACGCGGCATTTTTTGTTTAACTCTCTTTAATTTCCCTTTAAAAACTGAAACAACATTATACTGCGCGCAACTACTGCTCCCAAGATCTCCGGCTATGCAAAAATGAAGTCTAAATTTTCATAAACAATTTTGAACTATGAAAAGTAAATGCTTAAAGAAGCTAAAAGGGTTTAACATTTAATTATATAAATAGTATATTTTTTTTCCATAGGGTATGCAATGTATTTTTTCATACTTTCACAATGGGAAAAACGTTTATTTCCTCTCACTCCCCTTATTTGCCACTTGAATCCCAAAAATAATAAAAATCTTCGTTTCTATGTAAGGCCCCAGATAGAAAATGCTACTGCTAATTGAATTTGCTTGTTTATGTATCATATATGTGAGTTGTGGCCACTAGGCCCACCATAACTAACAACTGATGTGAAATTTGCAACTCTGCAAAAGTTCAAGTGTATATTTGTTGACCATATGAATTCTATCTAGCTTCATAAAGATAAAATAATGGTCAGGACCAATTCTATTTATGTATATATATATATATTAAATACTTTATAATATAACGAACACAACATCATGTGTCAGAAGATGGAACTAGAAGTTGTGTTGTTTTGTGTTAATCTTCTTTGGAGTTCCCGGTCTAATTTAATTGATGAGAGAAAATTGTTCAGATGGTAAATATTTTTTATTTTTAACCTACAGATTATGAATTTGAATTACTAAGGGAGTAAAAGATGTGAAAGTTTTCGGAGTAAAAATTAAAATCTAAAAAAGAACAACTCATTTAATTATGTGAA